AGAGGAATTTTTTCACACCACTATTACTTTTATGTTCCTCTAGATCAAATTCAATCGATTCATACAATCTCCTCTCCTCCTCCGTCAGTGCGGCAACACTGTCATAGATTCCAGGGATCTGAATACGACCGGTGGGATCCACAAGGCTGTCTACAAATAAGATAGAGAGATTGGTACAAGTGGGCCCTATTTCTTCCACTTGGTAATCTCAACACCTCTTCTCTTCTACCTAACTCTCTACTGAAGGAGTAAGCCTAACGACTAACTACTAACAACTGTTTGCATCTGTCAAGTTGTGGCACCTGCGCTGATGTATTTTCATATTTATTAAGAAAACCATGGAGCTGCTGACTGTGTGTGGTGGGTCAACCCAGCTGCTGACATGAAAACATCATCCTACTGAGATACAAATTGTCATTAAAAAGTCAGATTTCTCTATGTGTGTATGTATTCAGATTGCTAGACCATGTCAAATGGTCTTGATTGACACATGATTGACAACAGCACCACAGACACATGCCTGAGGTCCTGGCCTTACCAGGAGCATTCCCCTCCTCAGCTTCTGCCACCACAGCTATGCTGAGATTTGGAAAGCTGGGAATCTTGCTTCAGTTAGACTTGCTTTATTCAGGCCAATTAAACATGGCACTGATCTTCATTAGGCTGATTGCTAGGCGTTGTTCCCCAGTTACTCCTGAGCAATGATGCCTGTTATTACCCAGAAGAGCTATCAGGTCCGTCATCGGCTCATAAATGATGCCTCCAAACGTTCCAGAGTGAAGGTCCTTGTCACCACATTCAACCTGTACCAAAAACACTGATTACATATAAATACTCCCTACATTATTCTTCCGTGAGTGTTTGTTTTCCACAACAGCCAGTGGCTTCAGTTTTTTAAAGGAGGCCACAAATGAACAGGAAATGATTCTGTGTTTCTATTTATAAAATGGAAAACATCATGTCAGGAACAATCTGCTTTGCTAAAGAGCAGATAGGGCTCTCCGTGTTAACCACTAGAGAGAGAAATTCAGCTGTCTTTAGCACTTAAAGGCATTTGAGAGCAAGGGTCCCTCTCCATTCCTTTCTTTGCTTCAGTAAGATTAAATACATCATAGGTGAAAACTTGCTTATTCTGTTTCTAACATCGCTGAATAAATTCTTCAAGTTCTCTATCATGTTTACTTAATGCAAAATCTTTGCAAAAACAAAGACAAGAAAGAACCTTACTTGCTTTAAATTAAGAAAATATATGCCCAACCTTAATTTGAGATTGCAACAAATAAGAATTTAAAGGTCTCTTGAATCATATGGCTTTAGAACAGTGAGGGGCATTTGGTTTATTAAATGGATTCTTTTTCCAGACACATTTTCATATGTAGGTTTGTCAAACTATTTTCCTGCAATGAACTTGTTTATTCTTCTCAAAACCTCATTACACCCAACTGTCTGGTAGCAGGCAGAGATCATTTCTGATGTTTTAATAGCATCATTTTTCTTAACCAAGACTTAGAAGAATTGTATCAAGGCTGCCAAGGCTCTTCTGGTTAAAAACAAATTTCATTCTTCTTCAGATATAAAGGCTAATGCAGGTTTATCTTTAGTTCTCTAGTTCTTTAATCTTCTCTCTGAATTCTTTTTATGCTTCATCAGGGTTTCCAGATGAGAAGTTTCTGCTCTTCATTTCACAGTAGCTCATGTTGTTGGCTAAATATACTGCAGCGCACTGTTACGTGCTTCTGCCAGTGGATACAAAAATTTTCTGTGGCTTTTAAACCCAAAGATCCAACTAAATTGAGTCCCTTTAGGTAGATACATTGCAATAAGCAGTATCTGCTACAAAAGGGCAGAGCAGCAGCAGAACTGGCTTTGGGGTGAGAGAGTCAGGGGGTGTAGGAATGGTGCTGCAAGAGAACGGAGTTGATGTACAGAGGGGGTGATGAGGAAAGACTGAGAAAGTGGCAGGAAAGTAAGGGGATAGGAAAGGGATCAAGAGGAGAGAGGTAAGTGGAGAAATGATGATTGAAGAGCAATTAATGAAAGCAGATAAGTCTAACTGAAGTGAAATGAGGAGGGAAGTCTGTGGAAGCCAAAAAGAATATGGAAGAAAGCTCTGCATTTCTAAATGTTAAGCCTGCTCCCAGCCTTTCTCAGCATGCAGGTGTGGATGTGGTTACAGGCACAGCACTGCGCTCTGGCCAGGGGCCTGGTTCAAGTCAACCCATGTCCTTTACCTCCACGAAGAAGCAGGCATTTCCCCGACTCCCATACGTAAGGGCGGGCTTCTTGTTGCTGAGCCAGAGGTTGTCCGAAATCACAATATAATCGACGTTAGACAAAAAGCACTGGTTTTCTTCAAGTAACTTTTCTAGCCCCAAGGACCCTGCTTCTTCCATGCCTTCAATTACAAACTTGAAGTTTACTGGCATAGCCTAAATGAACATTATAGAAGTCTGGGTAAGGAACAAGCATTTTCAAAAAAAAAAAAAAAAAAAATTTAAAATCAGAAGCAGACTGGCTTGCAGTGCATGTTGTGTTAGGAAAAGAAGGACATAGGATATATAGCTTGCATCAATAGAAAGGACAATGGTAAATAGACACATACAGTTTCTCAGAAAAACTTGGTTTTCCTCATGTTTTTATCTACTTTACATTTTTGGAAGAGAGTGGTATCTTTTATCCTTTTTTGCATTTTCAGAGAACTTGCTAGACTGTCTCATTAAACTGGCTTTCTCTCAGTGCTATTAAATATTCTAATTGCTTTGGAAAGTCTCACTGTGTAAGAACAGTTGCATTTTCACAGAAAATTTCCTGCCTCTCATTTTCACTGTTGGTGCCCATGCGGGACCCACTGGCAGAGGTCCACCGCTGCGGTTTTCCCAACATGTTCTCCGTTGCCAGAGTTAGTCACACAGCAGTAAAAATGCTGCTGGTGATTCTACTATAATTGTCCTTTTAGCATTTATGAATGCATTTGCCTGCGAGTTCATAAGGATGTATTTCCAAGGGTAATTAAGAGAACTTTTATTATGGAACAACGCGAGTTAGAAATGCTGACACGTCCCATAGGAGAAATAAATTTGAGCTTAGTTTCCTATTCCAATTCATTTTCTCATTACAGCTTTTAAGATGTTTTATCTTCTGATTCAATGCTCAGATTAAATGCAGGAGCAAATGTGTAGAATTAAATGAACTTGTGTTATGGATGGGTTCACCAATCGTTCATCGAACAACCACAAAAAATTTAGAAAAACTGTTCATGAATATTGTTTGATGGTCTGTGCTGTTTTCTAGGGAGAGGCTTCAAATGACAAAAATTTTTTTGCTTGCTTGTTAAAATGCCAGAATAGCTTTTAGTTTTGAGAAACTGATGCAGAAAGACAGCCCCATACCCATATCCACTTACAATGGCTAATCTGTAGGCAAATAACCTGTGGGTTTGCTAGCACTTCAGAGACACTGAGGGCAATTCAGTACTATTGACGCAAGAAAACCATCAGTTTTCCAGAAGGTTGCAAAAAGACTTTACAAGTCAAGACTTACACTCAACTTGTGCCATAATGGCATAAAAGAGGCACAAAACTTTCTCAACAATCTAACAAAATGTGTCATGCAAATTCACCTTAAAGAGTGCTCGCTAACCAAATTATAAGCTTAGATTATACGTTGGTTTAGCTTTGCACTGGGGATAGAACTTGCCAAAAATTATTGAATACGCAGACTGATTTGAAGAGAACTATGTTGGTCATTGTAATAATTTAGGCAAAAGTTTAGTTCTTAGAGACATGTCATGCTATCAGTGACTATATTTTTACTTGGCTAATGCACCCATTAAAAGGATTTGCTTTGATAAATCTAATACATCCTTGAAAGAACAGCCCATTAATTATGAGCATTTTTTGATATTTATTCTGTTTGTGCATACACATACATTGAAGGAAACTTGTAGGTAGACAAAACCAAAAATTAGCAGAATGTAACAGCAGAGATGAGTCTTCACAACCAATCTGTCATGTATGTTATTTTATCTTTTCAAAAGTCCTCAAAGAATAGGCTATCAAAGCTGTTTAATGTCTGTAACACATTGAGTGCTTGCCCCAGTGTGTTTTCCTCTGTGGGGCAATGACAGCAATACCATATTTACATAGCATACAGACTGTTCAATATAGAAGTGCCCAAGGACAGATTATTACTGGACTGGGACTAGAGCCCTGGATATAGCATTAGAAACAAGCTGATATTTCAAAATGCAGGTAGTCTGTTGGGACAGAGACATATCATCTAACTCATAGAAAGGTAAATGCTTCATCTCCAGAGAGATGATATTATAACAACAACAGTTCCTCATTGATACCTACTAATTTTAAAGCTCTAAATGTTTCCACTGCATTTATCCAGGCTAAGACAGGTCCTTTATTATCTGTTGCTCCACGCCCATAGAGATTTCCTTAAAAAGAAGAAAGTTTTTAAGCAATCTTTGAAACTTCTCTCGTCACTTCAGTGCAATTAGCAAATTCCTGTTGCCACAAAAGCTGTAGTGGTGTGTCCAGTTAAGTGTCAAAAGAATCAAAAATTCATTTACTTCTTTTAAATGAGGTGGTGGGTGTTTTCCAGTGGACTGGTATGCTTTTTTCCCCCCCTTTTATATACATCATATTTTGGTTTCTGCTACTTGCTAATTTCTGAGCTTCACTTTTTTTCTTAGGAGCTGTTTGGTCACTCCAGTCATGCCTGGAGAGTTTGTACAATATGCAGCTTCTGTAAATGTCAGCCAGCCCAGGGTACAAGCAGCAAAATACCACAGATAAATACCACAGTAGTAGTACGAAGCTACAAGTCTAAGTACAAAACATTTTTTGAAGTGTTCAACAGTACAGTTATATACAGGGGCAGATTTCAGTTTCATGTACAATGATCTGTGGCAGTCCCCACTGGAGGCAGAAGAGTTATCCCAGTTAGGCTGTTTGAAACCAGTCCCAACAGATGGGAGAGGGAGGCTTAGTGGTTATAGCACAAGCCTGGGAATCAGGATTTCTTGGGGTCTTAGTCATGTGCTGACCCTCCACCCATCATTTTTGTTCCTTCAGTGAATGGAGCTTTTCACGCTTGGCTGGCTGTAGTGGAAGGATGATTACATTAAGGGGGCCTCTCATGCTTCCACCACCAATACTGCTTAGCTCCAACGTGGCAGGTGGAGGTACTAAAAGATTATGAAGCAAGAATGGAAAGTGCAAGGGAGGATAATGGTGGATCTAACAACCCAGCAAGAATTTTAAAACAGAAATGGATTCTTTATTGAATACTCTGTAAAGCAACATTAACCTTATGTGGTTCTTCCACACCAAGTATCATGCAATCATTGATGGCTCTCATAGTCACAGCATGGTCATCAAGACTCAAAGCTGCTGGATTTATCCCAAAAATATCTATGGGAAAAGTCCTCATGCTTTGGTTAAATATACAGGGAGTCTCCTTCCACTCAGAATCTCAGAGTCCTGTATTCAAATAACAATCTAAAACTTACAACCAGGTACACACCGTTGATTTCGGTCAGTGTGTAAGGCTCAGTTTTCCAGCCATCTTCCTTTTTGGCAGGCTGCACATCTACATGACCATAGAAACATACAGTGGGGTTTTGTGGATCCCTCCCCAGTTCCCCGAGAATCACAGGAGGCAGTGGAAGGTCCTGGCCATCAGGCAACTGCAGAGAAATGTTAAAAAAAGAAACGAAAAAAAAACACCTTTTAAAACTTGCAAGTGTTATATATAAAAAAACCCTGGAATTCTCAGCATTGAGAATATATATACTCTCTATATATACTTCTACATACTCAGTTGGCTCTGATTTGATCAGGTCCACAAATCTGACTTTGAATCCAGCTCTAACCTGCCCAGAGAAATTAAGATTTTTCTCCCCACCTGTTCAAGTTCTGCAGGGACTTTCTGGAGCTCTTTAACATTTTACTGTCATAAACGCCCTCGTTACTAAACTGTTCCTTCTCAGCACTGGAAGAGACAAAGATGACTGTTCTGGAGTGACAAAAACGTCTGTTATGACACTGAAATAGTCAAAAGCCACACAAACTAATTTGGCATTTGATTTTGCCACAGACAGATCGCAGGAGGCCTGTAACTTCTCATACAGAAACAAAATAAAGTTTTGCTGGCAGGAGTCAGCAGCAGTTATTTCAGACTGTTTTCAAAATGGGTTCAGGCTCTAAACTGACCCTGTAGCTTACCGCTGCACAGAACAGATATCCACATTGGCCAAGAGAGGCTGGGTGTCTCACAGAAGAGAGATTTAAGAAGTGAAGGAGTGTGTGAACTCCCTTGTGTTCAACAGTAATACCAGTCTGTATTGGCCTGTTGCAACCCAAAAGCATAGCTGCTTGCACAGCAGTTGAAGGAAAAACCCATTTTGTGAAATAATGTTTTGGCCTTAGGCAGAAAAAAAAAATATCTCTGGCCTCTGCTCCAACAACAGGTAATCCATTCCCCACTGTTATCGACACAGACTGTTCCTATGTATTTTGGCAATCATAACTGCATGCCAAGTACAGGTTTTAACTTTAAATGCATTCGTTACAACTCTTAAATGACATAACCTGAAATATTGAAGTACTGCTATTCTGCAAGGTCCTTGTGCTAAGACTCTTGCTCCTCCCCAGCAGCCTCAGAGAAAGGAAAAGGGAATCATTACCAGTGAACTTTAGATTTTTGTTCTGAAAGGAATTCAAACAGCCTAGGGCAGGAATGGACCCCAGCTACAGTAAGGTAAGTAAACTAGAGACAGATTTCTCAGAGACGAATTCTTGTCTGTTGCTTTCCAACAGTCATTAAGAAAATGGCTTGGAGCATTTGTCAGAAGCTCCCAAAACTAAAGGCGGTGCTCCATCTAGCTAGCCCTCTCTATCTGGTGACACTTCCCTTGTAAAAGCTACCTCCCTCATATAGAGACTTTGGTGACCAACTGATGCATTAACTATCATGCTTCATTACTCAGAACAACATAAAAATGAGCCCTGGTAAAAAACCTCAGGCCTTTATTTTTGCAAAATGCTTTCCTCCAGTTAAAAGGACAAACTGTCCCTGCCATGCAGAGAACATCTGTTTGTGTGTGGATTGTCTGTGTGATCTCCCAAGTCTGTTGGCAGACTGTCTGGGGAGGGGCTGGATTTGGCAAGTATTATGTGGCTACAGGACTATTGATAAATTGTTATCTAGCTACCAAAAACATCAGTAAGTCATAACATACATATGCGTATATATAGCGCTGAATATACGCACGAGGTGTGTGCGCAAATACAATGTTTTAAACACAAGAATGAGAGAGGCACCTGATGTGACCCCAGGTTTACTAAATTAACAGTGGCTCCCAGCGCTGCAAGTCTGTCTGCTGCCAATGTCATCATTCGTATCACTTCTTTCCTCAGATCGGGTTGAACAGAATCGCTTTCCACAGCCACCCATTCCTTCAGACCCTGCACAGGAAGGAGGGAACTGCGGTTAAATCACCCGGGATGCTGAGGCGTTTGGCCACTGAACACAAGAAGCATCACACTGGAAGACTGTTTCATTTCTACTCCATCACAGCAATGCCATGGTTGCTTTTTTTTCTTCTTAACAGGTAAAGATTTGCCAGTTCTCCCATGTGGGTTCATTTTGGCTCAGCAGAGCCCCTCTCTGCAGACACTCGAAGGATGCCCGCAGGCACCTGGTCTGGAGAGGTCCATGTAAATCCTTCTTCCAGCCTGAGGGTCCCCAGCACAGACTGTCCCCTCGCAGCCTTCCTTTGTGAAGCCCACATGGCACACCTGATGCCAGACCTGGAACCCTGCTCGTTACCTTATCGGCAAACGCTCATCTGACACGCAGAGCGCAGGACTCCGGGACACCAGTTCTGTGCTCCCGTTGTTTCACTGAAACATAGTTCTTACCTTAATGAAATCACTTTGATGTACGTCAATGTACTGGAAGATCTCCAGCTCCAACACCGACGAGGAGGATGAGGACATTCCTGCCTTGAAGAGTCATGCAAGGCTGAGATGGATGCTCTCTGAAAGTTAAGGATACAGTTCAAGATGTTAGAGACATCCTGCAATATGCACTTTTTGGTGCTAGAAAGCATGGACAGCTGCAAAGTGGTGAGCCTATTTAAGTCTCATCTAAGTCCTTCAAGCCAGGAGCAAGTGTACCTGAATTTTATCACATAAAACCTTCAGTCAACTCATTTGTTTCTGAAAGAAAAAAGTGAATCAATGACCAAAGAATAAACAGCTTTACAATTTCTGCTTTGTAAGTACATTGGGGGAAGTGTTTTCTAAAGAAACATCTGCTGCATCTGTTTTCAATGCACAAACCTCAAATTGTATGTTCGGGGAAGACAACCCCAGGAGAAGACTTGCAAACACCACCACACACCAATGGCCCAGGGGACTCTTTCTTGTTTTCTTCTTTTCCAGAAGCAAGGAGCAGAACGGATTCACTGACACACGTTGTGTATTTCATATGAATAAGGGAGAACAATCCTGACACTGGAGAGTATTAGACAGCAAATAGCTGTTGTGGTTGAATAAGAACAGTGTCAATACTGAAACACTTGATAAGTGCTGAAGTCATTTAGTACTTGCAAACCTCCCTGCCATATTGTTTTTTGACAAAGTGAGTGAAGACTTAAAAGCTATTAGATTTTACAAAGTGTTTGTCTTCCCGCAGTTTTCCCTTTCTGTTTCCTTGGAGTTCCTGCTGTAGTTTCTTGAATCAATGTTAGCGGAGTAATACTCGAATGACCTGACTGAGCTAAACTCAGAATAGCTGCTGTATCAGGCTGTGCAATGGGATGGACTCCAAGGTCAGAGTTCAACACTGATTCTAAAAATATTCTATACTGGTAAAAAAATGTGCAGTTGCAGGTCCGTCTATAATTCCTTAACTTTGATGCATTGCTAAGGTGATAAGCTATGGTAATATTAATAATTTCAATTATGTTTCTCTGACAGAGAAGAAAGATTGGAAACTCAAGCGTGATGAACAAGAGAAGGGAAACATTGTTCATGTCAGCTGGAGATCCCAACTGTATGAAGAATGGGCCCCATTTTCCAACCTTTCCTTGCCAGCAAGGTTGCATCCACATTGCCTGTGACACAGGTCGCTCTCTGAAGTAAAGCTTTGAGAAGGCCTGTGACACTAGATGTAATCCCCAGTGTCCAGTTCCTGACATCTGTTGACACTGGAAACACTGGTATTGAAAGAGACCAAATGCCAATTTTGCAGCAGGACAGCGAAGCTGCAAAGCACTGCTATGGAGGTGACATGTTAAACGAGACAAGAAAATCCAAATTTGGGTGGGCTTTTTAGCATGGAGAGATTAAATTTTGGCATATTATTTAAATGTAAGATTATTATTTAAATGCTAATGCTTGCTGGGAGAAAAACCCTTAAGTGATGATCAAAGTACCATTTTCTTCTCACGTTGTTTTCTCCATAAAAAGGTAAACCCTGCCTCCAAGAGGTGGATCTAATCAACCATCCCCTTCAAATATTCCCATCACCAGTCACAGCAGCAGCGATTTGGCCTAAATGAAAAAGGATTATTACAGGAATTTTTGAAGCGTGAAAAAAAAATCAGGACATTTTAGAAGAGACAAAGCAGCTTCTGGGATTTAGCAACAAAGATGTAGTGGAGAATGAGGTTTTGGGGTATGGTAGCTTAGGTTATAGTCGTCTTTGGATAGAGCTTCAGCAGCTGAGGCTTAACAACAGGAGTTCTGCAACAAGCACCCAAAACTTCAAATCCCCAATCTGGCTATTTCTCCCAGCCTTGGACTGCGTAAGTGGCTGCAAATGTTTGGCAACTGAAGTCCATTTTAGAGAGGGCAACAGCCCACAGGAGTGTGATCACAGACGTGGTCAGGAGGACTTCCCAGGCTGCACAGAGCAGACAAGACCAGGAGTGGCAGTAACAGAGGCTGGGGTGGTGGCAGCTGTTCCTCAGTAAACAGAGTCCCAACGAAGACAAGATGCTGGCACTTGCTGGGACAGTGCCCAAGTAGATACAGGAGGGCATCTGAGCTGAGACACTGTAGGTCACACCCAAAAGGAGCCCATGGTACAGGGACATGATCTGTATGAGGTAAAAGCCAAGCATGGAGGCCATTTGTGTTGTTCACTTCTCTTTTTGCTGCTGTGTGCTTTTGGGGGACCAGGCAATGGATCTGCTTCCATGATGTTGCTCGGTCTCACTTTAGCCAGCAGCGGGTCCCAGGAGAGCACAGTTCACCTTCATGCTGGTCCTTATGACAGACATAGTGCCTGCCACCTCCAAGCTGGGTCTCGCACAGGGGAGCTGGTTCCTGCCTGGGCTGAGGAGAGGGCAAGAGCCTCGACAGGTAAATTTGTGAGTGCAAAAAAGTGCAAGGCACTGCACCCTCAGAAGAGGGTGATAGGAACAGGCATGGTACACCGTGGTCATTCATCCAAAGGTGGGATAAATCGTAGTCTCGCCATGGGCATCGCCAACAGACAGGTCAAGAGATCCCAGCATGTGAGGGCTTTAATCAGATGTTCATCTAGAGAGATTTTAGGCCTCTTACCTTCATTTACCATGAAGCCTGCTCAATGCCTCAGTTTCACACGTATTTCGCTCATTCTTTCTACCTTGTAATCCCAAATCTCAATTTGGAAAATATTTTCAGAGGCTACTGGATAGGCCCTCATTTAGCCTTACCACAGAAAAACAGACAGGTTTCTCTGGGTTCAGTTACTTATAAAAAATACCTTTTGAGTATGAAACACTTGAACAAGGAGGATCATAACACCAGTCAGAACATGACTGCTAGAGTAACCAAGCTCATGCAACGGATAAGTATCAGTGTCTCCATCGTATACGATTTTCCCTCTTTCCATTCAAATATTCAGTTTTGCTGAATTCCATGCATTTTCACTCTAAAAAGAATGAGTATATATATAGCTGGCACCTTGCGGTGAGTTGAAGAAACACATCTCAATATTAAATGAAGGTCAGAACCACAAAAGGGCTGCTTATGCAGGGGATGTGTGCTGTGGTGATGACGTCTTCATCTTTTTATCCGCGCGACATGCAAATGACCTGGACAGATGCAGAGAAGAGACATATGTCTTCAAGTCACATTTCATTAGCTTTTAACTGTTTAAGAAAATGAAACGAGAAAACTGAAATGCTGTGGAGGAAAAAAGGCAAACATTCAAACAAGCAAAACATCCTAGGAATATTTGAAATAATTCTGTGATATTTTCAAAACGGACACAGACTTCAACAAAATCTTATACAATATCACAAAAATAGTTGCTTTCATAAATAAAAATAAGCACGAACAGTGGCAAGGTTGGGACAATGAACGCTAGGAGATACTTACACAGTCCTCCAGAGTAGCAGAGTGCACCAAATACCAATGATTCAAACAAGAAATTAGGTAGCAAGTATGTTGTGCTGTACTTGAGGGAGGGAGGGCAGCAGCAGATGGAACGTCATGTTAATGCACTACTGATACAAAGAATGCTGCTAGAAAGCATTTGGATCACAACTGGTAAAGCTTGTGTGGAAAAGGGAGTTGGTTCAATAAAACAGTAGAAGGATTTTCAGGCAAGGCTAAAATAGCTCAGTGTTATGAAGACGGGGGAAAAATGATTTGAAAGGATGATAAAGCTGGGGGGGGAAATTATCAGAGGCTTCAGTGTTCAACTTCAAGTGTCTTTTCTTTGATCCAATTTTAAAGAGTAGTTGCTGCTTTATAGAAAAAATTAGTACGACTGTTTTTAGAAATAACGCATGACAGTCACGCAGTTTCTCTTCCTTCATTCCTTTGCAGTAAGAACATTTTGTGTCTCACTTCCTCCCATCTTGTTAAGTACTGTTAAAAGAAAACTTAGCGTTCTTAGGGGGTGATTTAACAAGAAATCCAAGTTGACTCTTTAACTAGGGTAACTGATAAAATATCAACTAAACTTACACACCTACGAGAAGCACCTCCTGAACATGCTTCGCTGCCCTCCTCACTGCTCCTGAAGCGCGTGCCTCACATGCTTTCCTCCCTGCGATGCAGCGTTTGTGGGGTGTGTGTGGCAGGGTGCCAATGAAAACAGAATATTTTGCAACCAACCCAGAGAAAAACAAAGTCAGAAGTTTCCTAGTTTGCAAATAATATAAAGAACATTTGACATGAAAGGAGACAAAGGTGCATATGGCAGTAGGTGCTAATTTACCAAATCAGCATTGGGCTCCATTGAAAGGAACATACTGTACCCTCTAAGCAATCACCATCAGGGAAGCTAACTGAGATAATGGGGTTATTATCTAACTTGGTTTAACAACATTTACTGTTAAGTGGCTTACCTTTGGTGGAAGCAGGCAATCAAGCCTCAGCTGCCTCTCCAGATGACTAGGTGAGACCCTTGGAGGAGGAAGAGGAGGAAGAGGAGGAATCCTTCACATGACAGTTCTTGTGCACAGCCCTGACCACGTTCAGCCACTGCGCTGTAGCGACCAGGAGCTGCAGAGGTCCAGACGCCTGCAGGGGGATGAACGCCCGCTCACAGAGCCTGACTGTATTTGAAGGTGATTAAGAAATGGCATCAAATCCAATAAACTGTGTAACAGCAATGAAAAGGTTTGGTGGAAAGTGTAGATAAGATCTGGCACCTGTTGGCAGGTGACCCCTGCAACAGCCAGTGCTGTTTCCAGCAGTCAGCTCTTACCAAGTGTCACGATACGAGCTGCCTTAAGGAGAACAGCAATGACTAGCCCTGCCCTTGTTCAAGCCGACCCCTTAGAGAAAAAAGTGACAGCCTGTTTATGAGTTCTGCTTTGCTATAATACAGCTGATATCGAAAAAGAAAGTCCTTACCTCTTTCTGCTCTTGTTTTGCAGCTGCCTTTCTGGCCGGTGATGAGAGCTCGAACTGGAAAGATCTCCTCTTCCACCTGCAGAACAGGGGGATTTTATCTCAGTTCACTGACACGTTCTGCAGTTGTGATGGGT